TGTCCATTTGCCGTACACCATTCCGATTTGTGTTGATTATTTTTTCGCGAAGGTCCTCAATATACAATATTTTCCGCTTGGCATATTTAGTAAAAATGTAAATCAGAATATAAAAAGTTTTCACCTTGAGCAAATAAAATATGATCAATTTTTATGTTGGTTTCTTTATTTATGTCCGTTGAAAAGTATTTGTGTCCAATATTAAAATAAATAAACACAGGATAAGATGAATTTGAAATGTGGTGAAAAATTATGGTATTGCTAAAAGGAAATGTTATGTTTAAAATATTATTTTAAATATTGGAGGTTTTTGAAATCCGACGAGTTTTAAAAAGTTTCTCTACTTTTGTCTGATAGTGTAAAGCAACAATTATGAGCAAAAACTAAACTCTTGTAAACTCAGTATTTAGCCCAAGATTCATTCATATAGCAAATCTAAATTATTAGGTTAATCATCTAGCATAACAGATATTAAATTGGTTCAAAGAAAAAAGTATAAAACTTCAGCAACTCCTTTCAGCTCTAATTGCCACTTAAGCTAGAACGAGCAAAATATTTGCAGTGGTTTATGTACTTAGAGAAAAGATGAGTTACAATTCTAGTAAGCTTCCATATTTTTATCTATTGCATTACATCTCTGATATATGACACAATTTTACTTCTTACTTGAAGGATTTTTGAGATGTTCTGTAAAGTGGGTTAATATTGTAAATAAACATTCAAAAATTCCCCCGTCATCGGTCACCCTTAAAATGTAACCCTTGTTTATATATTAATCAAGGATGTAACTAAGTGTTTTTTAGATCTACAGGGTGTCCCAACACTCCGTGGACGTAGAACTACTACGTATTTTTGAAATCAAAGTAAGTTCATTCGACACAATTTACCTCTATGCAAAGTGCTTCGTTTTGCCGCTAGAGGGCATCAAAGTTTAAAGAAATAAACATTTTTTTTTCAAATATTTTAAGAACCGTTATTCCCATTTGAATTATATTTTGTATGTATGTTTTGCTAAGTGCTTTAACATTTGACATTCACAAAAATCAAGAAGAAATACGGAAAAGGTGAAAACTACCCCCACCCCTACATAAATTTTAGTATAAATATTTAAAACTCAACCGACGACTGATTTTCTTTTCGTAAAATGTTCTAGTATTTACCACATTTTTTATCTTTTGTGAAAAAACACCACATCGCATAGTTTTTCAGAAAAAAAAATTATTCTGAAACCAATTCTGAACAAAAAAAATGAGGGTTTTACAATTTAAAATTTTTTATAACTTTATAATTACTTTTATATTTTCCTCAAAAACGACAATAATTAATCGACTTCCTCGGACAAATGGGCCATCTCGTATCAAATAAATCGTTTAGCATGTTTCAAAATACGAACAAGGGCCTGTAACACAAACATACAATTGTAACAAGTCTACAAGTCACAAGTAATGTGCCTGTAACTACAACTCCTACTTAATTTGGTATCACAACGCAAATTGCTACAAGTGCAGAAATTAAACATTTTGTAAAATTTGTAAAATGCAAGTATTACTTCTATTGATTCAAACAAGGAAATTTTTCTTTTAAAATACCAAATGCATTTTCAATTACTATTCTTATTCGTTTATGTGCCCTATTAAAATTATTCTGGGCTGGGTTTAATGGATCTTCATACGCTGGTGGAATCAACCGCACTGCTTAGAGAGTAAGCGGAGTCTCCAAGAATAACAACATTGGGTTGAGGTCTCCAACCATTTTCCATCCTGAGAAATAAAAAACTATTTCGAAGTACCCGTGCATCGTGAACACTACCGGGCCAGTAGAATGAAGAATGTAGAATGTTTAGGAGGGGAGTTAATCACCGCGACCTTACAGATCTATTGTGTGTTCCCCTTTCTTGAGTTATAACGAGTTATAACTCATCATACAGTCTCAGGGCTTTAACAAAAGCCAGTATCTGAGACGTCTCCATAGAGGCAAGCTCTCCATCCTCGACATCAGCCGTACCAAAGTTCATGGCACGAACGGTCGTCGTCTCGGCGCACTCAGTGATAAGGTGTTCTGGTGTTTCCCCCTTTTCTCCACAGAATCTGCCTTCGCCGTTGTTTCTCAGCTTTAGCCTACTGAGGCGTTCGTTGAGAAGACAGTGTCCTGTTAGAAACACCATGACAATCCGAATATTGTTTTTACTTAAATCAAGAAAAACCTTTGATTTTTCTCGGTCGTAAGTTCTGAGAAACTTTTTCCAGTGTCTTAGACCGTTGGAGGACCCCCATTCCAGGTTACGGATGGAGTCTTCCAGATTCTTTAGTTTCGCTTTTAGTTGGTTCCCGCTTGAAAAACAGAACGGTTCTGGTCCAGTTAGTGGAGTGTTTGCTACTTTTCTAACTAGATCATTTGCTTTTTCATTTCCTTCTATCCCTTGGTGAGCAGGCACCCAGAGTAGGAGGACTTTATTTTCTTTGCCTAGTTTGTTGAGCTTCTATTCTAGGCATTCTTTGACCAACTTCGAATTGATGGTTACTGAGTTGATCGCGTTTAGTGCTGCTTGGCTATCGGATACCGGGCCAGTTGGTACTAACATAATAGAATTTTATATCAGGTCAACGAACAGCCATACTGTTAAGTGTTTACCATGGCGGTCATTTATATAAGTGTCCCATCCTCTGCTCCGCATACTTCAGGAAAACCGGCTATTGCATGGAATCTTTATAAAAGATCAAACATATTCTGGGGCCATGACATTATTTGTTCAAATTTAATCTCATTAACAGTACTTACAGTGTCATGTATGCATCTAAAAACAGTCATTTTTCATGTCAATGTCCCCATGCACAAACACCATGATACTGCAATGACCAATGACCACTTCCCAACCAGTGCAGGGCAATGATTAACATCTTCTGCGGTGGTATTAATCCATACCATCGAATTGTAATTGTATTTGTAAGCCTTGGTCCAATATAATGAAGGAGATTTTCAAAATGGCATCAAATGAGACGAAACCTTTCTTTGAATTCTTTGCCACTAGGAAAAGCAAAGTCTTTCTTTATATTAAACCGATATTCTCTAGCTCTATCTTCATTGTTACTTTTTGAATCACTTGACCACATAATGGAAATAGATACTTACGTGTTCACGCGCGGTACGGGAATTGCCATAATACCGTGCATTTACCCAGGCTGGGACATTAGACTAGGTAAGACATTATCTACAATTATTGTAGTTAATTCTGTAACACAATTATACAAGTGTAAATTTGGTGTTGCCGAAAATACTTAAATATGTGAAAATTCTTCCGTAATTACTGGTGCCGCAACGGTTATTACAAGATGAGATGTGTTATGAAAAAGTTAGAAGTGTAAAATATATTTATACAATTGTAGGACTTGTATGGTTTGTAATACAGACCCCTAATTCCTGATTTCACCACCTTACATGTTAATTACAGTTGGGGGTTGAAATCTTATTTGGTGTTACAACAGCAAAATAAAACACTAATTTACCACTATACACCAAAATACTTTTACTTTTACACTGGACGCGCGTTTCGCTAACCATCATGCATGTTAGCATCATCAGCAGATGATTAAAGCTGAGTGATGCTAACATGGTTAGCGAAACGCGCGTCCAGTGCAAAAGTAAAAGTGTTTTAGTATATTGTGGTAAATTAGTGTTTTATTTTGAACCTTACATGTGATATATAACATCAAAAAGCTTTAAAGTCCAAGTTTTTTTTTGTACGAGTATATTCTTTTTGTTACTCATATCTGATACGCTATTATATTTATTATATTATTTATAGGTACCATTATCACATTTACATATGTAGTGCCATATTTACTAATTAGATATGACGGGAATACTAAGAAACGATAATCCAGAGAAAAACAATAATATTTAATCAATTCATGCATAATAACTTATTTTAATTGCAAATAAAATTAAAAAAATTACCGTGATTTATCATTCATATGCGTATGATCGGCATTGGCGTAACTACAGGGGAACCTGGGGGTGCCGGGCCCCCTTAGGTTCTGCTGGGCACCCCCCAGAGAAATCCTCAATTATGACTCTTGACTACGTATTAATTTTTATTTGCTTGTGATGCAGTCAAAATGACATTTTCTAGTTTTGTTTAGTTAATATTATTTTGTTGTGTTCAAAAAATGTTTTAAATTTTATTCTTTTAGAAAATTTGTAGATATTTAAGTAATCTACGGGAACACGGTTTGATAACCAAGTCTATGAAATTTATTGATAGAGAAATTCAGATAAACGTAAAACGTTCTATTTAAAAAATGTGTTTTTTAAAATTATTTTTCATTTTTAAAAAACAAAAGCACTAGGCCCCCCTGGGCTCAACCCCCCCCCCCCAGTCACACCCCAGGATAAATTGCTGGTTACGCTAATGATGATCGGTTTGTTACTACCCAAGAATCTTGTTAAGTGTTTATAATTTATTTCAAATATATAGAGCATAAACATCATCTAATTTTGTTTTTAATAATATCTGTAAATTTTTTCTATCTAAATTGTCTTGAATATGTATTAAATAATTGCAAGTAATACCGATCATTGTGCTTTTTTACGGACAATTATTGAATAATTAAAAAACTCTGTATTTCTGTTCACGTATCTAATTGTGAATCCCAATGTTATAAGAACATGCATTAACCTCGACCGTACGATTGTTGAATGTTTTGTTTATTTTTATTAAACAATCTAGACGCTTGTCTTGCGATTAAACACCATAAGATCATGAACCACAGGTTTTTAATTTTATTATGAATTCCAGGAGCTACTTACATAAATTGGATTGGTAATTCCAGTAATTTAAATTAAAATGATTGCTATCAATAAACAATAATTTTTAAATTTGCTTTATAGTTTGTTAATTGTTAATTGTTTTACTAGTTGCCTGAACAAAAACCAGAGAAATAAGAAAAATCTCTATATCTCTGATTCTCTGATAAAATCTAAAAACCTAACCAAACTTTTAATGTTGTTTTTTTTTAGTTTTAAAATGCCGATCTTTATTTACTTTTGGTTTAAATAATTTTAAAATGTTTTTATACAGATCTATCGCTTTATTTTATATGAAACGTAAGCTATAAATATCTCTTTTTTCTTATATTAAAATTCCTAGCTATTTTTAAAATGGTATCGGTAAGAATAGTTGTAATAGATTATTACATGTCTCCTCCTATTCCTGGTTTGGATGTAACTTATTCAGAATTCCGAGGCTCTTCTGTAAGTCAGGTACCCATTTTAAGGTGCTTTGGATCCAATGAAATTGGTAAATATCTCTCATTTAGTAATATTTCACAATACATTCCTGTATCATTTTTAGGACAGAAAATTTGTTTACACATACACGGAGTTTTTCCTTACTTATATATTCCATACGATGGTGTAGGTAATGTAGATAGTCTTATGTATCAATTAGCTTCAAGCATTGATAGGGCTGTGAATGTGTCTTTGAATCAAGCAAATTCATCTATGCAATATGTATATAAAATAAGTTTAGTCTCTGGCATGTAAAGACAGTAAGTTAATTTAAATATAATTAAATATTACTGTATAATATTGTAGACCAATGTATGGATATCATCAAAAGAAACATCAGTTTTTTAAAATATATTTGTATAACCCATCGTTAGTTTCAACAATAAGTAATCTGCTTATAAACAGGAATGTTTTGGATAGAATATTTCAACCTCACGAAGCACATATTAATTTCACTCTTCAGTTTATGATTGATTATAATCTTCATGGAATGAGTAAAATGATAATTTCTGATATTAAATATAGAGGGACTACTAGTGAAGAGCTTTACTCCGTTGAAAATATAGAAAAAATAACTTTATGTGAGTTGGAAGGAGATATTAATGCTGGTCATATACTCAACCAACAAGATATTATTAGTGGCAAATTAGCAGCTAATCCTGGTATCGCAGCCCTATGGGAAGACGAAAAACAAAGATTGAGAAATAAAAATCAAAGCTCTCAATTGGGTGAATTTTTGGAACTAAAAAACATGAAATTCACTCCAACAAAAAGTCACCTTATTTTCAAACAAGCCCTTTTAGAAAGATTAGCAATTTCATCCACAGACAATGAAACTGCTCAGGCAGATTTAGACATGTCAGTATATCCTGCTGAGACTCCAGCAAGTGTTTCTTTACAAAATGCTTCGATTGTTGATCTTCACACACCATCTTCATTAGAGCTATCTTTGGATGATACCTTTTGTCAGTCACAGAGTATTTTGGACACTACTCTTAAGCCTGAAAATGCAACAATAGATGAAGATGCTCAAAAGTTTTTATTGTTACTAGAAGAGTTAGCAGAAGAGAAGGTAAATTATGTTAAATTATTTTTTAATCATATTTATGATTTACATTTAACTAGTATGCTTTAGCGCATTTGGGACATCACATGGTATAAATGATGTAATCTGGGCGATCTTTTTTTTTACTGTGGTATACTAAATAATATAGAGCTAGTTGGGGGAATGGTAAACAGGGGCAATTGTAAACAGGTCCAATAACTTTTGAATTTGGCTGGTAGGGAACAAGTCGACTGGCTACAGTGGCGCCCACATCTTTGATGTGTATTGACTCAATTAAATGAGTTTCTAGTACTATTTGTTTATTGTGCAAAAACATTTTTTTTTGGAGAGCTGCTTTAAAACTTGTAAAAGGTTTTATACCTTAGCGAAATTTTGTTTAAAAATTTCAATTTGTGAATAAGTTAAGATAATTTATATACATAGTGGTCTCATTTAGTGTTGTATTAGTAAAATGCATGTTACAATTTGAGATTAACTTTTAGGGGAAATGAAGTATAGAGGTCTTTACAAATGCCCCAGTAAAATAGGATTGTGGGGTAATTGTAAACTTGATTTTGGGATAATAGTAAACGTGTGTTAACACTGATATGCTCCAAGACAGATATGAAAAAAACCAAAAAAAGAGAAACGTTAAAAATGCATTGGTTAGGTTTATAGGAAGGAATATAACATATTTATCGTCAGTGAAACGTGATAACCTGCTAGCTCCATTTTTTACGTTAATAAGTTTTTTTATACCATTAGAAAGAGAAAAAAATACTCTATAAGTAGGGAAAGCAAACATATTTTTTCCCATTAAAGAAAATTTTTTATTTCAACTCAATAATATCTGCTAACTCCTAGTGATCTGAAATAGCCACCGAAATGCTGCTATCTCCGTAATTTTCGTTACGATCACGCTAAAGCAAACACACAGATTCTTAGTCGTATGTTTTTTTAGTACAGTACAATACAGTACGTCGATCCAGGGTCGCACTAGGCCAAAGGGGCCTGGGTGGCAATGTAAGGAGGGGCTAGTGTGTTTTTTTTGGCGTATTTTTTCGCCTTATGTTTTGGTCAATTTTTCCCTATTATATGCAGGGTGAGTCTTAAATAAGTGCAAATATTTTTAGGATAGTATATTTCGACCCAAGAAACACGATTATGAGATTTTTTGGGCGAAATTTTTTTTTGAAAATTTGGAATTTAAAAAAAAAATTGGGATTTTTTTTTTAATTTTTAGTTTAAAAACATACTTTGTTTATCATATGGTAACATAGGTAGTAGATTAAATTTACAAGAAAGAAAATCCAATGATTCTCAAAATTATTGCAAAAAATTGGAAATTTTAAAAGTGAAATAACTCGGTTGTTTTGGATTTATTTGAAAAACCCGTAAAGAGAAAATATTATGTTTCTTTTATCGAGATTTGCCAGCCCTGCACATATTTGCACTTATTTAACACTCACCCTGTATAGAAATCAGGGAACTTCTCTAATGCAAGGTAAACCAATGCAATGCAAATTCCATAATGCAATGCAAAAGCAAATATTGTTATATGAGAATAATAATTCTTCTTAATTCTCATTAATTATTAATGAACTCTAAAGGGCCCCCCCTAATAGTTATATAATATGGCCAGTTCGACCCTGCGTCGATCCGTTCTGTAAATACGGGGTATCCGTAAAGGGTAAGAGGAAAAACGAAATTCTCTATATACGAGCAATTCATCGGCGTGCTATAAATAGTTTAAATAACATTACTTACTTGTACAAGAATTTCCATAATACCTAATAATTTTTATTTTTTTCAACGTCTTTTCACGTAAATGACACATAATTTTTATAAAAATTAAAAAAATAAGGAGAAAAGTAATAAAAATTTAATAAAATCACGCACTGTCTTCCAAGCTCGGTCTACTACCGTTGTATAAAAATTAGGATAAGCATGGAAGGATTCTACCATATCTTCTAAGAATTATAAGTTTAATTTTTAAATTATTTTCATATTCATTAAGTCCAAAATTCTGCTACTTCAGTTCTTTAAAAATGCAAAAAATTTTAAAATTTTCATTAAAAATTTATTCGTTTTTGGACTTGTATGTTTTGCTTCTAGACCGACGATATTATAAATATATGGTTATGAATATCATATTTTTTAATTTAATTGGTTATTTATAAATCTGTTTGGGTAATATTCATTTCCACTTTCAAAATTTCAAACAATAAAGGTTGCTATCTCGAGAAGTATATTTTTATTTCTTATTTCTGCAAGACGAATATCTGCTATCTCCCTATTGTGTCGGAAAAAAATGACGTAACACGAAATATTGAGTTTTATTGTTCCCCAGCCAATAAAATTCTTATCTTTTTATCATATTAACGCATAAAAATACTTCCCACATCTGTACATATTTTTTTGTACCGTTTTTTTGCTCTCCTGTAAAATTAGGAATAATGGAGTTAGCAGTTATCACGTTTCACCGACGATATTCGTTTTCGGGAAAGATAGTGGAATGTTTTTGAGAAACCTTAATATTTTTTGTACACTTTTGATGAAACAGTAATAAATAATTTGTCCAAAGAATTTGTCTTTATAACATAACAAAATGTTTTATTTTGTCTCCAAGGGGAAAATTTTAAACAATTAAACACATTGATAAACATAACCCAACTAAAAAAAAACAAACTTGTATAGTTTTTGGTTCATTATTACCCCGTTTAAAAAATATGTTTACATTTACCGCAAAATAGGACAATATCTGATTTTCCTATGGGGTAAATGTAAACAGGGTTTTTTTGGAACCTATTGCAAATTTCTAGCTGTCCATCAAAGCTCCTATTAAGTAAATTGTCTTAAAATATACCCTTTTAGAATTTTCAGTTCAAACGTCAAAGTTTCAAAGTTATACCTTGTTAAAATTACTTTTGTTAAAATCCTTTACCATTACCCCAACTAACCCTATATAATGTAATCATACTAAAACACACAAAATAATTTTAATTTTATAAACAAACGCTATCATATAGAATGTCTATCCCAACTGATCTAAGGCGTCGAGTATACAGTATACACTATTCATTTCTGCATGTAGTATACCGAATATTATTGATGATTATATTTGGAACATTGGAAGTTCATTTTCTTTTTTCAATTGAAGGAAAATAAAAAAGAACTGGAAGAAGACAGCATCTTGTCACAAACTATTAAAGATGCTGACCAGTCAGATGAATCTAACGAGGACATTTTAGATTTGAGTATGCCTTTAGGCTCAATGACTACACCACAAAAAATAGTTGTTAGTGCAAACGCTAATAGTGGACATACTGATGATATTGAAGATATTTTTAATACAACATTAATCCCACAAATTGATGGACAATATGATCTATCGGATAATGAGTTTTATCAGTATTCAGGTGTAATGACTAGATCAAGATGTAAGAAAATAGAAAACCTCAAATCACAATTACCAAAACAGGTATATATTTCATATTACTTATACAAGGTGACCCAAAATAACAAAATATACAGGGTGTTAATTATCTTAAATTAAATACTCTATAGTAGACTTTCTTCAAATTTGTTAATGTTATTTCTAGTAATAATGACCTAATTTAGGCCTACTTGAATGAAAATAATTAACTTCAGGGTATACATTATTGAAAATAACTAGAAAAAAATGTGCGCCACTGACTTCCAATTGTTATTTTCTAGATATTTTTATATTATATTTTAAATTAATCAGTTAAAAATTCAACTTTTTTCTCTTAAAAAAACATCGTTGCATCTTTGTGGACCCCATTAAAAAAAATTTCACAATTTTTCAAGGCAAGAAAGTCAGTGGGGCACATGAATTTTTTAGAAAAATATTCCAGTTATAACCTATATGCACGTACCTGGCGAATCTGTCTACACTTTTTTAGCATTCAAATATGTCGCACTTATAGTAACTTTTACCACAGATTATACAGATTATAAACTTATCGTCAAGAGCATTTTTTTTCGTGGTTCCAATTTTAGGAGTCGCGCACTAAGTTGGTTTGGTGCACAGCGCCTGACCGGCCTTGTGACCAGCGCAGTTATTACGCTGTTTAAACGGGAGTTTATTTTGCGCACAAGAAAATTTACTCGTTTGCTCATCGTCATAAAAACAATTTTCGTACCACGAATTAGGGACAAGATTTTTATCTGTATACTTATAGGATACCTAATCTGTGCTTTTACCATTGAAATTTCGTCGAATCGCTAAAAACACTTGGAGGAAAATTATAATAAATACAAAAAATAAGACTCTATAACCTCCAGTAGCTATGAAACAAAGCAGAATCTGGCGTTGATATAAAAAATAAATATTTTTTTACGTCAGGGATCTCCGCACGCAAGATGGTAAATGTTTTTTGAAACACCCTGTATAACTAAATTTACTCACTTTAATTTACAATGCTTTTTTTATAGAATCCAAAAAATGTATGTGCAAAAAGATCAATGCCTTTACTGGATGATATTTTTGAAAATCCAATAGAATTAGTACCGAATTTTTTACCAAAAGCTAAAAAAAATTCTGAGCACAATATTTCTTATCAAAAAGAACTTGTGAATATTGAACATTTAGATAAAACAAAAAGTTTAACAGCGTCACCTTCTGCCAAAATCAGGAAAAAAAGGAACACAACAGATAGTATTGAAAAAACTTTGAAACTTATTTCATTCAGGGTTAATAAAATGTATGCTCGAAGAAAACTAAACAGTGTTATAAAAATTATTTCTAAAAAGGAGAAGTTGTTTCATTCAAGTTATAAAAAACCAAAATTTATAGTTAAACCATCTGCAAAACGGTTTTTGGGTAAGTTTTTTCCTATTTTATTTTATTGAATGATTTTAATGCATAAGATTTAGTCATGATTGTTTATACCTAAATAATGTTTAACTGTAGTCTGTCCAACTAAAGAATATATGAGAGTGACCTTTGTTATCTGTCATTATACAGTATGTCGCGGGATTGCCTTTACAAAGAGAAAAACTTTTTTATTATTGATATTTTGAGAAAAAATCATTCTCCATAAAAATTTTTGCTTCTTCTAAAATGCTTAATCCCATGCATTTATACTTGTCCAAATTTACATACCTATTTAGAGAAAATTATTAAAAAAAACATGAAAATGTGGTTGAAAAAACATGAAAATAAAAAAGGTTTTCCTCTCGTAAACAACAACAATCCGGGAACATACTGTATAAATAATTATTCATAAGTAGGTTGAATTTTCTCAGTCATTTTTTGGATGTAAACTATCGAAATAAAATTTTCTGCCGTTGGATAGGCTATAGATGTAAATACATGAATGTACATATGCTTTTTTGTGTATATAGTATTATAATAAAAACTCTAGTTGGTTAATTTCAGTGAATTTTTGGGTACATTGCTATTAAACCAAGCACATCAATTAGAAATTATCATCCATTTGTCATGATTAGTAACAAAAAATTAAAATATATACTTAAATTAAGGAATAAACAATAAATAATGTGTTTTTTTAATAGGATTAGGATCGAAAGAAATCAACAGAAGTCCTTTGCACAATTTAAATCTGGACTTTCTTAGTCATACCCATTAATACACGGATGGTATAGAGGGGAGTGGTATATATCCCTTTTTTTCTTTTAAAACACATAACACACTTACATTTAAAAAAAACATAACATCGATATTAGCCTTGTTTATATATTCTTAAAGTTGCCCAACCGACTAGACAAAATGTGCTGCCAACTGGAGGACAAATCGTGAACCTTTCGGGGCGGAGGCAAAAATATCGATTATTTTCGTTATTTTCCTCAGAGTAATGTAATAATATAGCCCAGGATTTCTGCGAACTTTAATAGTGATCAGCTGATTAAGAAATTTAAACGAAACTTTTATTTTATTGTAAATTGTGGATTATTTTTGCCTGTTATTTTAAGAATTCCGTATTAACAAAAAAATTATTATTTCGATATGTTGGTACATTATTTATAATTTATGATAATGCTAGTTGCTGTTAATTAATATTTAAAAAAAAGTTACATACCTATTTTAATTTGATTTAATGCAGGTTTATAAAAGAATCATTTCATTCTTAGATTATTTTATTCTAAATTGAGTGCTTTACGAATTTTATGATATTTTTTTTGAAAACATGAAACTTTTTACATTTTTGATGCCAACTAATTGGCATGGTATTATTGGTATGGAAATTAGCCAAGAAAGAAAAGAATTGGCTATAACTTGTAATTTTTCGAAAAAAACATATTATACCTATATCGCTGAAAAGCTTAAAAAATGGCGCTTTTTATGAAGTCATGGCCAACTATGGTTTCCATTTAAAAAAAACATAATGTTTGTGTCATATGTCAAAAATGACAGGCTTTAGAAAAAAAAAAGAGAAAACACAAACTCATTAGGTATGTGATTATCTACAACTTTTATCTGAAAAGTTTTTGTCTAAAATACCGTATGATCGAATAAAAACGGCTTCAGCGATGGCTATGAAATGACGATCGATGATATTTCCCATATAATTTTACATAGATATAAAATGACCGCGATCTTCATTTCATAGCCATTGTTGACGCCGTTTTTATTCGATCATACGGTAGATTATAATGAAATTAGAGACAAAGTTTTAAAATAGCCAAAATTTGTTTTTTTCGAAATATCTAGTAAGCCTTGAATTTCTCCGAAAAATCCGAAAGGCGCATATTTATGACCCCACAAAACTGCAATTTTTTCCCCATTTAACCGACTCTTATCTCCAGTAGTTTCCGAGATACCCATAGAGAACATCGTAGGAAACTTACCCTGTTTAGTATTTAGAAACTAACTATTATTATTATTTGACTAGATTAATTTGATTAATAAAACTCGATTAATTTAATTTAAAATAAATTTGATCAGATTTTTTCTTCGTATATTCTACTACCAGAAAACCAAAATTATATGATAACGCACTTTTCAACGAAATTGAAGGAAGATATAGTGTATCTATCACAATACTTAATAGAATTACTACAATTAGAAGAAAAACAAAAAGAAAAAATACCCAAATACCTTCACCTACTACTCATCTACAAAATAAACTAATATAATCTCTTATAAAAACACTACACAACTACTTCTTCACTACTTCAACCACTTCTACACTGAAAAAATTATCAAACTTACTAATTAATCAAACAAAAAGAAAAAAATAACCAAATTATCCTTTCACCTACTACTTAACTGCAAAATAATAAACTACAAAAACACTACTAAACTATTTCTGGTATTCTACACCAAACATTATAATTAAACTTAATAAAATTAATCTAATTTTACACTACAACCACTACAACTACAAAGAAATAAGAACATTTTTTAAAACTAGAAGAAACAGAACCTCGATACATGCGACCAGTATAATAGATCAAGCGGACAAAGAATATAAAATACTTTAAAAATGTGCATTCAGAAAGAAAAAATATCTCGAAAATTATCTAAACAAACATTTTTTTTCTTATCAGTGAAAAGCATCGGCCTCGAAATTTGTCGGGTATTTACAATGGTCGAATTGTATAATTACCAGCTTTTATAGCATATCTAATAGACAAAAAGTATCTGGTCGATTAGTAACCAATTGGCACAGTCCGAAAATTATCGATTTTTATTTTCTCTGTTTTTATTGGTCGCTTCAAAATTCAGAGTAACAAAAAATATTTTTCTGTAGTAAAAGACTGTGAAATACGCCCCGCCATCTGGTGCTTTACGTCCATAAACATCTTAGGTTGAGCTACTTTAAAAATTCATATACAAGGATATTAGGTATAGAGAAATATCAGGAATTTTTTTTTTCTTTTTACAGACAAGCAGTGCAGATATACCTACGTTGACCGTATACAGAGAGCAACTCTGTATAAACACGTACTATATATCAGTTGCTCTCTATATACGGTCAACGTAGGTATATCTGCACTGCTTGTCTGTGAAAGAAAAGAAACTCGTGATATTTCTCTATACCTAATATCGATGTTATGTTTTTTTTTAAATGTAAGTGTGTTATGTGTTTTAAAAGAAAAAAAGGGATATATACCACTCCCCTCTAAATCCAATTAAAAAAAACACATATATTATTGGATCGCCAACAATAAAAATTAGATAAAAAATAAAGCATTCTTAAGTTAACGTCTCATTTTTGTTGTTAAAGCTTATCTGGACGGGGCCTACTTTGTTTACGCGGAATCCGAACCCGGGTCCTCGGCCATATTGTCCATTGCCTACCGACTTGGCGAGTGCCTAAATCGACTCTTACTCACGAGATATTCGATCTCATCCGGCCTCAAACCGGCGTGAATGAGCAGTGTGTGTCAATAGATTTTACACTCTTGCCATGGAATAACAGCACGAAAGCAATCATCCAATCACATGGTCTAACGTAGGGTTGCCAGTCGTGCCAAATTTTCGGGATTGTCTCGAATTTGGAGTTGTTGTCCAGATGTCCCCAAGCAACTGTTAAAAACGTTCATTTGTCCCGAATTTTAATGTCTATTTAAGCTAAAATTGGAAGTATTTAATGGCAATATCGATTTTAAAGAAATTTAACAGAAATTTGAATAGTGATGAGCGAGACTAGTCTTGGTCTTGCACAAGAGGCAAGACCAAGACTAGCGTTTAAGCTGCAAGACCAAGACCGACCAGTGCAAGGCATTGACAAGACCAAGACCAAGCATGCAAGACTATTGCGGTCTTGCATTTTTTCTACATTTGTGTGATACAAGAAATTACTTATTTTTTCAATTATTATTTAATTCTATTACAAATGGCGTTTTCCGACTAATAATTTCTTTTTTTAAAAAGTCGTTTCTGCAAAAGTCTTGTAGCAAGACCAAGACATGAAGACTACTTATTAATTGCAAGACCTTGCATTTGCTCATCGGAATGTAGAATGTTTAGGAGGAGGGTTAATCACCGCGACCTTACAGATCTATTGTGTGTTCCCCTTTATTTCTCCAACGAGTTATAACTCATCATAAGTCTCAGGGCTTTCACAAAAGCCAGTATCTGAGACGGCTCCACAGAGACCAGCTCTCCATCTCCGACATTAGCCGTACCAAAGTTTATGGTACGAATGGTTGTCTTCACGGCGCAGTCAGTGATGAGGTGTTCTGGTTTTTTTCCCATCCCCCCCTGCCTCCAGTATCTGCACTCGCCATTGTTTCTTAGCTTCAATCTACTGTGATGTGCGTTGAGGAGCCAGTTTCCTGTTAAAAACTCCGTGACAATCCGAAGATTTTTCTTACTTAAATCAAGGAAAATCTTCTAGTGTCTTAAACCGTTAGAGGATTGCCATTCCAGGTTACGGATAGAGTCTTCCAGGTTTTTGGGTTGCACCTTAAGTTGGTTTCCACTTGGAAAACAAAGCGGTTCTGGTCCAGTTCGTAGCTCCTTTTCTAGCTAGATAGTTTGATTTTTCATTGCCTTTTATCCCTTGGTAGACTGGCCATCCAGAGTAGGAAAACTTTATTTTCTTTGTCTAAGCTTCTCTAGGCTTTCTTTGACCAACTTTGAGTTGATGGTAACTAAGTTGATGGGTCTTAAGGCTGCTTTACTATCGGATAAGATGGGTACCTATTTCTTATTTCCTGTAGTTCCTATCTAAAGATGTGATTCGTTTTTATGAACTTACGAGACCAAAACATGTATTTCATTATATCAATTATAGGGAATTATATCACTTTATAGGGAAGGATTGTACAGGGTGTCCCACTAAGAACAGCTCTCGGCTGTATCTCGGAATGTATTAGCCGTAGAGCCTGCCGAAAAAAATATTTATAACT